CTACATGTACATATTAATGTTCACACACACTCACAGGATAATTAAATCATTAATAATATTTTAATTTTATNTAGGCCATTGTTTCTATCAGAGGATGAGGTTAATGTCCATTGCACTGACTTGGGACCCATTTATAGACAAGAGAGGGAGAAGCTGACTGATACTGAACTGATTAAAATACTGTCAGACTTTAAGAAGTGAGAGATAATACACAATTACATCTATTAGTTATTATTTATTTATTTTATTTATTATTATTAGTATTGGTAGACACAAGCTTCAGACTATACCAGGTAGTCTCAATGTATCAATAATAGGATCAGCAACACCTGGAGGTAGTCATGTACATGTATTTAAATTATGTTTATTATATTAATTATTATTAGTAATATTCACTCCTTCCTATCTTCCTGTTAAAAGCACTGTACCAAGACAACTGACACCTGATACACAAGTTAGCACATGTACTTTTATTACAAGCACCGTAACAATAATTTATAATAGCCTCAACTGAAATACATATACACGTATTTGTGTACATGTACATGTACATACACATATGCATGTACATGTATATGTGTATGTACATGTATCTCTTGTAATTTTATCCTCTCTCTCTCTCTCCCCCTCAGGCCAGTCTTGAAGTGAGGGAGTTCCTCTCTTTGGATTCATACGACTCATTCTCTCATTGTTCCCCTCACATCTCACACATCAACCACTTCTATGTCTATCCAGTCTCTCTTAAATATGACACTCAGAAGAGCTTCCCAAAAGTAAATGTACATGTACATGTACATGTGCATTGTACACACGTGATTTTATAGTGAAATAATGTACATGTACATGTAGTACATGTATATTAATGGAATGTGTATTTTGGTATACATGTACACAATGTGCATGTATACCATTAAAGTTTGTTGGTGATTATCGAGTTAATGTTCTTATTGTATTCTTAGGCTCGCAATATAGCAGTGACTATTGAAGTGAGGGATAATGACACTGATAGATACACAAGACCACTAAAAGTAATAATTAATATATTATTATTATTATTATTACTGATTTATTATTTATCATGTATTATTATTATTGTTAGGTGATATACAGTAAATCATCCAGTGATGAGTTGTTAGTAGACAGTGTCACTACTCCAGTTCTGTATCACTGTACCTACCCATCCTTTTATGATGAGGTACAGTACATGTACATATTAACAATAAAACCTCCATTTAACGGACAGCACCTAGTGTACCAATTACATTCCTTACTGTATAAAATAACCTCCACATAAAGGACACCTCTGTATAACAGAGACACTTTCTTGTACCCATTAGTGTCCATTAGCTATACTATAATTAATAGTTCTTATTTATTTATTTATTTGTTTGTTTGTTTACAGATAAAGATCCAGCTGCCTACGAGGATCAATAGACGTCATCATTTATTATTCACTTTCAAGCACATCAGTTGTGATATTCAGAAGATTGCTAAAGGAGGCGGGGCCAGTGGAAGAGGCTCAGTTAAACATAACAGCATTGAAACCATTGGTAATAACTAACAATAACTATTAATAACTATTAATAACAACTATTAACTATTAATAACTACTAATAACTTTTAATAATTATTAATGACTATCAATAACTGTTAATAAATAATAACTATTAATAACTTTGTCATATTATTTTATTACAGTTGGTTATTCTTGGTTGCCTCTGCTTGGAAATGATGGAAGGTACGAGTGTACATGTACAAGTTAATTAATGTTAATGTATTATTTATTTATTTATTTTATTATTATTATTTTTTTAATTTTAATTATTTTATTTTTTATTATTTTATTATTAATTTCTTTTAATTTTAATTTTTTGAATTTTTTAATTTTTTAATTTTTAATTTTTTAATTTTTTATTTTTTTTATTGTTTATTGTTTATTTTTTATTTTATTATTATTATTATTATTATTATTATTATTATTAGGATCAATTCTGAGTCATTGCTATTACCAGTGTTAGCAGCTGCTGAATTACCTCCTGCCTACTTATCAATAACAAGAAAAGATCTTGAGAAGAAAGAAGTAATTTTAACACCTTTCCTTATATTTATTTTATAATACTGTAATACATGTAACACATACATGTACATTTACATGTAGGTTTATAAACTGTGTTGCTGTATTCAATAATTTTAATGATTCTTTATTAAATATTTGTCTATACTGTACAGTTTCCTATACCTGATGGCGTGAAGTGGTAGCTTGCCAAGCTGACATAGTTCATAGGTGTACCTGGGAATGCTAAATGCAACTGGTAGTACATGACTACATGTAGTTAGCCATCCTCACTTATCAGTCTATCACTATGAACTAAAATAACATACAGCTAAAAAAAAAATACAGCTTCCCAAACTGTGTTTAGTTCATAGTCATAAGGTATAACTTGACTAAAGTATGTATGCTATTAGCTTCATTGCACACAGCTTAGTAAATTCAAGTGTACATACATCATACATGCATCTACTAGTAACGTACTCTTGTTACTGCATACTATAGGGCTTGTCCTTGTTTAAATCACATTTTCAAAAGTTAAAATAAAAAATAGAGAGCAAATAGTTAAAGTGAAGTACAAGATGAATCACAGAATGAAAATAATTCCAGCACATCTTTAAATAACTACTGGACATTTGCATGACATATCGTACTAGGAGACAGAGTATATTAATATTACATTCAATATTCAATCTTGCTGTTACATGATAGTTGTTGCAGTTGTTGTTTCTTGTATTGGTTCATCAGGATACCAGTATCCTAGTTCATATTCTTCTTCATTATCTGATAGTGCAGTGGTTACATCATTCCTGTATGCTGCTGTTTCTTCTACTGGTACTGACATCATTACTGCTGCATTCTGTACTACTGGAGGAGCTGCTATTGCTCTTGCTAGTAATCCAATAATGATAAGCAGTAGAATCAAACTTAGTAGAATTATTCCAATCATCACACTGCAGCAGACCATCTATGAGCAGACTGAGCACGGACTGTGCTGTAGTGTTTTTGTAGTGCATTGTACATTTATATCACGTGAGGAGACTATATGAATATGATGCAAAAATAAGGGCGTGGCTCAATCATGTTTTATCATTCAAGTTGATTCAACTTCAAGACAACTTGTTAAAATGGCAGTGGTAGAGATTGCTCCTGTAGTTGTTCCTCCAGCAGCAGCTCCTCTTCCTCCAGGAATAAAGGTACCGCTCCCTCTCATTATTATTATTATTATTAATGAGCGAGTAGGCTCCAAGAAGAGTACAGCCATTAGACTATGAGAGGGAGCTAGTGTCAAGAAGGACTGACCTACAATCAGAGACACACTCTAACCTATTGATATTCCCCCAACAAGACATAACTGTAAGAGGAGAGAGAGAGTATTTTGAACATTGCGACTTTGTTGCAACTAAGAGAGAGAGGCGGATAGCAGTAGTTGCTGTTTTAGCATTTTTAAATTCTACATTGCTCTGATCAGTTTGTGCAGCTATCCATAGACTATATAGTTGATACAACTAGTGCTGTATATATCAAGCACTTGTACTGCATAACTGAAGAATTAGTTCAGGGTGTCCCTTGACAGATTGAAGAATTAGCATCCCTAGTCACCCTGTTAGGAGTCCCCAAGGCTGGTTTGAGGTTTATTTTATTTTAATTTTAGAGTGTCCTCTAGTTCAGGAATCCATGATAAAAACTAAGTTCCAATTTGCATCAATGCACATGTGCAAAAGGTTGTTTTATGAGAAAAACAGGATCCAGCTCTTA